TATGACATTTTTCTGACATCATTATTTAACAATTTATTTTATTTTTTAAATATCAATCCATGACAGATTGAAAATGAAAAAGAAAAGCTATTCCAAAAAAAAGTGTAGAATACAAAACCCAAATGATTTCATACGAGGACAAGGGAGCTGGGCCAGTTATATCCCACTTCCCATCTGGTCAGTATAGCGCTGAAATAATATCCAGGAATATTCATTCCCTAGCCGTTCAAGCACACAGACTTCTAGCTATGTGCAATAAAGTGGTGATCTGAGACAGACATGAGAAGGTCACTGATAGTGTCCACTACAGACTTGGGTCAATAATGACTTTCACGAAACTAAAAAATTAATCCAACCATCTGAACTCTATAATCATTCTGTTAATGAGTTAAAGGCTAACTAAGCAAGTTTGCTGTATACTACTAAAGGATAACAGAAAGCTAGAATTAGTCTATGTTCGGATAAAATAATACTTTCATTCAAAAGTATTCATGTTTTCTACCAAGAAAGCCTCCTACTCTTTCTCTATTCCAGGAGGCCAGAGTACTGACATTAATACTGAAGTTCAGAAAACAAGATATTCCCACCCAGGATTCTGAATCTTGAGCAAGTGGCCCCAAATGAAGGGACGATCAGGCTCATTCTTGTGAGTTGGCCACTTCCTGGGACCGCAGAGACCTCAATTATTTTGTGGCCTCATCCACTGGGTCTCCTGGCCACTTGCTGATAATGTGAGCTCCCAATGTTTTCCTAATATTTCTGTTTTTACTTAAGACAGCCACAATCCTAATGTATTAATTGAAATCAAGAGTTTCAGGATGATACAAAGTATGAGGCGAAGAGTGAGAGCTCTGATTCATGCCTATTCGGTAATTCCCTGAAGAAAGAAGGTCGGCCTCTTTGCCTGTCTTGGTCTCCGTTTTCACAAATGTAAACGTGACTAGTTTAGCACTGTGCCTCAAGGAATTAGTCTGTGAGACACTCCCTGAATAGAGTTCTCCCTTCGGAGAACCTAATTGCACACTGGTTTATTTGACTTTCTGGAAATTCCTCTAGTAAATGATTTAATTTGACTTTAACCCAGCATTTCCCAAGCTTAATCATGGAAGTCCTGTTTCAGAAAACATTAACATCGCCTTGACTTTGTCACCCACAGAATATCTTGGCAAGAGAGGTTGCCTCTAGCAGTTCATTTTTCTTTGAATTTGTATGTACCTGACATTGAACTTTATCAGTAAACACTCATGAGGCCTTTGAGGAGCCTCTGTACTAACCCTCTGTAAGGGATTCTTAAACTTCAGGGTATACAGGAACCACTTAAGGAGCTTGTTATATAACGTAGGTTGCTGAGTACCATACAAGGCCTATCAATTCAGAAGCTTCTCGAATAAAGACAAGGAATTAGAGTTCAGAATTACCCTACAGGTGATTATGTTGTCAGCACTCTTTAGTCTACGGTATGAGGAACACTGTCTTATGTAACATTTCAGTGACAAGTCGATGATGTTTTTCATCATTAGAAAAAGCAAAAAGTCATAGTTATAACAACATATCCCACTGCTCAGCCCATTCATCATCTTCTGAAGATGAGGCAAGCTCACAGACAACTTGTTAACAACCTCTCAAAATTTACTGAATAGCTCTGATCCCAAATTCCGAAATATATAATATTAAAATGTGAATGTGGTTTTACCTACAGCTCTGAGGTCAAGGATTTATACCACATGTAGTTAAAGTCTGAATGGTCACAGATGGGCACTGTGACAGAAGCCTATCGTCCCAGCTACTCCAGAGGCTGAGAAAGGAGGGTTGCTTGAGCCCAGGAGTTTGAGGCCAGCCTAGGCCACATGGTACGACCCCATCTCTAAAAAGGAAAAACAAGAAAGAGAAAAACCAAATGCTCTTAAAAAGGAGCAGTCTCTCGGATGTCTCTGTCACGCCTGCTACCCACCTATAGCTTATTCAGTCTCAGCATAAACTGACTTAGTGAGAAATCCAGGTTTAAGGCGTAGGGAAGAAATTTAAGTTATCTAATCTTATGACTTATTAGCAACTCAAAGAATCTGACGATAGGAAGACTGGAATGAATAACTAAAATGTTATTTTTAGAGCATTGGTGAATTTCATTTGCTTTCATTACCACGAATAGTGAAAAATTAGCTGTCAGAAATTTCAAAACAAGATAGCAGAAATAATAGAAAAACTGAAATTAATCAAGTCATCTTCTAAAAATTTTTTTCTGTTAGTATTCTTCAGTTAATACGATGAAGATAACAATACTATATAACAGGCTGTACGTTTTCCTACCAGAAAAAGGATGGGTTTTGGAGACCAATGACATTTATTGGGGACAAGCAAACTTTTTGTTTGGGGGCCACTAGTTCTATTTACTGGAAGAAAACACCACAGAGGATTCACAGGGTTTCAGGATAATTCACTTTTATCTTTATAGCCCAAATGTATAGACAACTTGTTTGTAAAGAACTTGCAGGAAAACAGTCTCACATCTAAGACAGTGTGTCTTATTTTATTTTGTTAACCAGAATTATAACCTCTTTACAACAGGAAAGTGCTTATTCTTTGACAATTCCATAAAACCAGCATCCTGGCATATATTTTTTCCAGAGTTTCATGGAACAAAAAGAAATCTTTCTAAAGGGTTTCAAGATTTCCTCCAACAGATTTATGAGCCTCATTTTATCCCTCTTGCTACACAGTTGTTTGGGCTTAATGTATACAACATATCAACAGCTAAAAACAGTGTTACAAAGCTTAGTACCTACCTCATTCTGTTCACAAAGTTACATCCTTTCTTATTTGCATAAATTTATGTTTTATGAATCACTGTAATTACTATTTACAATCCTGCATCAAGAGTTAGATTTTAAAAACATGAAATGCAATTCTTATGGACCCTGAAAACAATCAGGGATTTAATTTTTTCCCCCCTGGCAGTACTGCACTGTCCCAAGGGTGGCTGCATTCTGAAATCTGTGACAATCTCTGGAAAATTAACATGCTGCCCAATGGAAGAGTGACTAAGCAGATCTTGATTACGCTACTTTCCTGTTCAAATTTTCAAGTCCTCGTACCCATCCCAACTATTTTTTTAGGCCCTTCCGTTAAGACTACTAAAACTGTTCAAACTTGGAACTAAGGAAAGAAAATTTTAAGATAAAGCTGAGCTGGATTTAATTCCATTTACTTAGAGAAGATTGCCTATAGAATTGTGTTCACCAGTATGTATTAGGATTTGGTTTCTCAGAAGGACCTGCTTTGTAGATCCAGGGTACTTTTAATTTTCCAACTTGGTTCCTGGTTTGCTTAGCTTAGTGCCTCCGTGTGCAGTCCACACCTGAAAAAGGGTGGGGTGGGGGGTGGGGGTTTACAGTGCTGTGGCTTATTAACCAGGTACTTTCCATTCACTCCGTCAACAATTAGAAAACAGAAAGAAAGAAAAAAAAAGAAAGAAAGACAGCCTCCTACTTGGTTTTTTTTTTTTTTTTTTTTTTTTTACTACAAATAAGGAGACGGAGACGGAAACTATTCAACAAATAAGGAGGGAAACTCCCACATATTTCACCTTGACCTAGCTGGACTAGTCTGAACCACTCCTGCCCCTAGAGGAAAAAGAGAACCATCACTCCGTGTCTGGAACTGGAAACCGAACCTTGTTTCCATTGCGGGGGACTGAGTTCCCTCTCTCGGTTTAGCGTGGTAGTGACAGGACCCGAGGAGGTGAGGAAGCGAGCAGCTTCCCCGCCAGTGGACCAGCCAACACCCCCTTCCCGCTTGCATCTAAATTTTTCTGGGCTGCGAGCAGGCAGCACTAACTGCCCTCCCACCTCCTCTCCCTAGCTTGTCTCTCCCCGCTTTGTTGCCATCTGTAACTTCTTTGTTCCGTTTACTAAAAAGGTGACGCTTAAGGTCAAAAGAGTCACAGTATCAAGCAAACGCTCACAGCCACCATGAGACCCAGGGAAAAAGCAGGGCTGTCCAGCCAAGGACTGAGGCTCCAACTGGAGGAGCAGAGAGAAATCTGGGCCGGTAACTCCGGGAATAGCCCCTACGGAGTGGTTCAATTCTCCAAGGGCTGGGAAGACCCCAGACAGCCCTGGGATGAGCCCGAGGAGAGCTCCTAAGTCTGCAAGCAAAGTGGGCAGCGCGCACCCCCGGAGCCAAGCGTGTTGGGGGCGGGGAGAGGTCCCTGGATTCCACTTTGTATGCAGCAGCTGCCGGGCAGTGAGTATCTCCGAACAAAGCGCGCAGCGCGGGGGTGAGAGATCGGGGTTTGCTCGCAGCTGTCGCCTGCGCGGAGCGAGTCTCCCACCACACCCGCTAGGCGAGCACTGGGGTGCAAGGGTTCGGGGGAGGAGGGAAAGGGGAACGCGGCGTGCCATTCCTGTTGCGCGGCTACGCATCAGTTCTTTTGAACGATGGGAATGGCAACCATCAGAGCCAAGGGGGAAAAAAGAGCTAGAGTGAGCAAAACAAAGAGCGAGTGTGGGCCGCGGTGACTTCATGCCTCACCAATGTCCCGCCCACGCTGCTCGGAGCTGTTGGCGCTGCTGCTGCCGCCGAGGCCGCCGCCGCGCCTGCGGGGCTCCGGGCTAGGCGCTCGGGAGCGTGGGGCGGTCTCCTAGCAACTAGAGGCCGGGTGTGCGCCCAGCTACCCACAGGTCCCGAGCCCCCCGGGGGGCCGGGGCAGGACCACCTCTCCCCCGCCCATTGCCGGCTTGCCTCTGTCGCATCCTCACCGGGTGCACCCCAGAGCGCTCCCGCTGCCTGGGCTCTGGGCAGCAGGACTCCTGAGCCGCTCACTGGGGCCACAAGGACAAGGGTAGGAAGCCCTCGCCCCTCCAGGCCGGGCTCCCGCACCGCCCCCCAGCCCGGGCTCTCCCCTCCCGCTCTCCGGACCGAGAGCTCCACTCCACACGGGGCACGGAGCGGCGATGCCTCGCTGTGTGCCTGCGGGTGCCGCCGGCTGCTTCTAGGGCTCCCCCAGAGCCGCCTCCCCCTGCTGCTGGCACCCCGAGCTTCCTCCCTCGCCAGCCAGGACGCTGCCGCCTTGTCGCTGCCCGCTGCTCCGCTGACGAGTCTGCAAAAGTGCAACTAAGTGGAGTTGGCCTCTCTGCCCACCTGTGGAAGAAGCTCGCGCCCATCGATGCGCCATCGACTTTTTTTCCCCTTCTGCCTTGCCGGCGTCCCCTCCCACAGATGCAGCATCACCCAGTGAATGTACATTAGGGTGGTTTCCCCCCCAGCTTCGGGCTTTGTTTGGGTTTGATTGTGTTTGGCTCCTCGCTAAAGCTGATTTATGCAGCAGAAACCCCACCGGCCTCAGAGAAACAAAAGCTCTTTTCTTTGTCCCGGAGCAGGCAGCGGAGCCCTCGCTCCCGTCGCCGCCCCGAGCCCGCGGCTGCCGAAGGAGGTGTTTCTCGCAGAGACCGCGGGACCTGCCGTGCCGAGCCGGGAGGGCCGCGGGGCCCCTGAGATGCCGAGGGGCGCCTGGGCCCGCGTACCTGCACCGCTCACTCGGAGCCGCGGGGTCCGCCTGCCGGGCCTGCGGGAAACGTCCTAGCGACACTCGGCCCGCAGGCCCCGAGGTGCGCCCAGGAGGCGCAAGCGCGCGTCCTCCGTCCGGAAAGCAGCCAGGCGGCGGGCGTGGGGCGGGCTGCTTTGCATTATGTGCGGCTCGGCCCTGGCTTTTTTTACCTCTGCGCTGGTCTGCCTGCAAAACTGCTGGCGAGGTTCTGCCTCGTTGCTCCGGGCGGCCTGGGTGTTTTCACTTGTTCTTGGACTGGGCCAAGGTGGTAAGTGGTTTTGTTTTGTCTTGTTTTATTTTCTTCTCTTCCCCAAAGGTCTTGGGCTGGAGCGAAGATCTGCCCCTCCAGAGCATCCCGGCCAGGTAAGTTACGTGGCGGTGCCCGCCTGTCTGCCCTGAGACCTTCAAAAGGGCGACTGTGTGGTCTCATCCTCCATCTCAAGGCGGTCTTTGAGAGGCCAGGTGTCAAGCATGTCTGCCCGGGAGTGATGGCAATAACTATTCCGGGAGTCTCTGGTGTTGGTTCTGGATGTGGGGAAAGCAATAACAGAATGAAAGTTTGGAAGACAGGGGTTGTCTTTACATAAAGCATTTAGGAGTTCTGGTCCATTCTTGAGGCGTCATCTGTGCAGAATGTGCTCCCCACTTTTCTAGCATTTGGATCTACCCCCCACTCACTTGCATTTGACTCAAGATTGTGGATAATCTGGTTAGAAGAGACTTCTGAGTCCAGAAAAGAAAAAAGCAACATGCGAGTTCCTTCTATCCTAGTGCTGAGTCTGAATGAATTAAACACAATATCCGTGCTGTAAGTCGCCGTCCTTTCAGCTTTGTTAAACATAAATAAATAACAAGCTTTCCTAGCTAAGTGATCCCTGGCAAGATCAGTCTCTGAGACTGAGGAGCAGCGAGAGCCCTGGGCAGGACTGACAGCTTTCGGTCCAAGCAAGCCACTTCCTTACGAGTTACCTTCAGGTGGAGAGGTTACCTCTTTGTAAATTTTATGGTGTTCCTCTATAAAATGAGGATCATAATTCCTACCTTCCCTAAGTCGAATGAAAATTTCAAGTTAATGCATGAGAGGATGTTTCAGGACTTTTGATTTTTGTAATCAAAATCAAAGGTAAAGTGGTAGCATTGGATGGCTACCAAACGTGAAGCTCATCCACATAGAGGGAATTCTTACAGATTTCCAATATAGGCCAAACATTTACTTTTGCCAGTACAATGACTATTGCCCTACTTTTTTAAATGATTATTTCACTTCTTCTCTGCTTGGTCACTAAGCCTTTACATTCTATTATATCCTTTCTCTGACCTCTCAGGCTCAAGGAGAGTTTAATTAATAGCTGTAATTGTTTTGTAGACTAAAATTTACTCCTACGCTTTGGATTGATGTACCAAGTTTCTGCCTAAAACAAATTAAAACAGTTAAGTCATAAACATAGCGTTTAGAATGGAAACATCCAGTGAACTTCACTTAATTGTTGCATATATAGTTGTCTAGTATTTGTTTCAGGAAGATTTATTCAGTTCTGTGAAATGGGGACAATTAGTGTAAACTTGTGGTTATTTTTTTGGCTTGTATTTTAATTTCAAAATAAGTGAAACTTAAGAGAAAGGAAAAAGTAACATTTATTACCAGTTATCTTTAAATGGAATTTGCATTGCTTGTAGCACATTTTCCACCAAGCATAATTCCATAATGAATGGTTTTTCTACATTTAGTAAATGCACACACATTAGTGAAATGATCACAATTTGTGTCAACAGAGTATTTTTTTTCTCAATGCATAGGCATAAGACAAAGTCCTACTTGCCTCTAGAATGTACTAATAGTAGTAAAATTTTTAAATATTCATCATGCCTGTGGAGATTAGTCAGGTTCTTGTGAAATAGCATTTTGTATTTCCATCCAGAGACTGTAACTGATTTGAGGCAAATATTATGAATGGGCCCCTCTGCACCTGCAGACCTGAAAAGCAAATGTTGATCTGAAGTCAGAACAAGGCATCCTTTTCCCAGTCTTTGTCAATGTACAAAGGTTTTCAATGTATACGGATTTGCATGGCAGTTAAAAACATGCAAAAAATTTAAATTATAGCCAGTACAACTCAGAAAATTAGAGAACAGTGTAAACTGTTGTACTTTTGTGATATAGCTACAAGTCTCAAATTATATGTCTTTACAGTGCAAATTAGATGCTTCAAGCAGAATAGAAATTTAGGTATCAGTTACAAAAGAAATCTTGTTCCCTCTCTCAGTAGTTCACACCAAGAAAACGTTGAGGGCAATAAAGCCATCCCAAAGAGACCATAACATGAGCTGCACAAGAACAGCATGACTTGGGATTAAATTCTTGAATTAGAATGTATAGGTCTAACCACCCTGCTGTTTCCACATTTGCATATTTGAAAAGATCTTTGGTTATATAAACTTTTATATAGCAGTATGTGTGACACATTTCAGAAATCTCAATTTCTTTTAAAAAGTGGTACTATTGCAATGAAATGACACCTTCTCTTAGTAGGTATTCAGCTGTCAGCTCTTTCTTTTCAATAACAACCAACCGGATTCATATTGTTTTCCTCTAAAACATATTTCACAGCACAAATGTTCTCAGAATGTTTTTATACTTACCTCAAGTAATTGCGTATGTAAGAGAAACAAGGCATGATTTTAAAAATGCTGTTTCACAGGCCAATCTTCCAATGTATTTTCATAATAAACATCCAAATTAACTCTAGGTTAATGCAGCTGAGACACTTAGTGATCAGTCAAGAAGTCATGGATTCTTGCCCTCTGTGTGAAAGCAGAGTGGCTGATAGGATTTGAAAAATGCTGGAAAGATTCCCATACCCCCAAATACCTGCTTCTCCTGTTAAGAAATTATCTGAAATTTCACCACCTAATTGATTCCTTTGGGTTAAACGTGCAGTTGACTCTATTTTTTTGTTGTTAATTTTTAACATTGTATTATGGGCATTTTCAAACATGTAACAGAAGAAGCGAGAATGGTACAAGGAGCTGCCGTATCCCCATCACCCAGCTTCTTTAACTGTCAGCTCAAAACTATCAACCTCTTACTTACATCTCTTCTCCCATCCCCACCCAGTTCCCTCAAGTAAATATTTTGAAGCAAAACTCTCAGATCATCATACTTAAACATATTTCAGCAAATCAAAATTATTACTACACACTGTTAATCCGAAAGTGTGAGTTGTTACAGCCGGAATATGTGACACGAGAATGTTGACCGTCTTTAAAGGGAGGAAGGACAGAAGAGTGAGAAGCAAAGAGAGACGAGGACACAGTTTCAACCATTTACTTTCAATGGTTCTATGACCGTGCCACTGAAAACAGTTTCCATTACAAAGTATGCAAATGTAACAGTTTTTGATATAAGGTATGTGAACAAGAAAAAATAACACAAGTACACTTTCCAATGCATTGCTTTATCCTGACGGAATTACAGCAGGTATATGTTGTTAAAGGTTCAGTTTTAAGAATCCACCCCTCCTTGTATCAGTCAGCGTTCCTTTTCTTTACTAGATCATCTGTTCTATGGCAGTATCTATATAGGCTACAATCTCTCTCTTCGGTTTTTAGCTGCCCTTTTGCTATAAAAGTCTTTGAAAGAATTTTCCATAACTCTCGTTGTCTCCAATTCTCCTCACCTTCTGTTTGAATCCACTGATGCCAGGCTTTCTTTGTCACCTCTGTAGTTTCCCTCTGTTAAGACTGGGATGCCCTCCTGTTGCCAAAGCCAATGGCTGATTCTTAGTCTTCATCCTGCTTAACCTATCGTTTTTTGGTGGGTTGACACTGTTGACCTTACACTCCTCAGAAACATTTCTTCCCTTGGTTTCCTGGACCCATACTCCCTTGGTTTAAACTTCTCCTCCTCTGATTTCCCAACCTTTGAATGTAAGAGTGGCCCAAGATCCAGTCCTCAGAATTCCTCTTTTCCATACCTACTGAGTCAAGTGGGCTAATCCAGTCTTCATTCTTAAACATCATTTCTGTACTGATATGGCTCAGCTCTAAATCTGAGGTCAGCTCTAGTCCTGACCTTTTGTCTGAATCTCCAGTGGGTACAGCAAATTGTGCAACATCTCCACTGAGTATCTAAAGCAAAATGAACCTTAGTGTATTCATAACCGAACACCCCAATCTTCTCACCCAGGTTTCACCATAACACTGAGAAAAGTAGAAATACAGTCCTCATTTTTGAAACGAGAGGACTGAAGCATGTGGGAGATGAATATTTTCCCAGTGTCACTTAACCAGTAAGTGGAAGAGATGGGATTTGAACATAGCAAAGCAAGCCTGAAATAGCCTTCATCATCTGAGCTTCCTAAAAAGCCTCCTTCATGTCAGACCTCTGTCTGCATTTTCCCTCTATCAGAATCTTCCCATAGCTTCCCACTGTCTTCCGTTTCCTTAGCCCAGTATCCAGCTACTTCCCAGCTCACGCGGGTCTAACCACGTGGTGCCTTGCTGATGCCCCGTCTCCACACCTGCCCGTGACCTCCTTGAGTGGCAAAGCTGCACCTGTTGTTTTTTGTGTCTCTAGTGCCTGGCACACAGTAGGTCCTGACCTGATAAGTTATGTGAGTAAATGACTCCATGGATGACATAAGAACAACAGGGAGCAGTTTAAAATTGGGCAGCTCAGCCAATAAGCCCTAATCAACTCTAATCCTTACTAGAATTTGAACTTAGGGAAATAAAGTTTTCTTTCAAAAGTGGGTTATGCCATAAAAGACATTTGTTACTGCTTCTCCAGTCCACTTCAGAAAGCTGTCTCTTGACCTTGTAGGCAAAGCTGTAGCAAAGATTAAAAGCTGAGACTTAGTACTCTTTAATCTTATTTTTTAAAGTTTGTTTTGCTTTCAAAATTTCTGTGACCATTATTTTTATTGTTGATAATAAAGCGCAAAAAGAAATCCTGATTCTTCACACTCAATGCCCGTTTTATTTTATTTTGTTTTTTAAATTTCCACCTTGGGAGCGTAGATTTCAGTTGCCCTGAATGTACATGCCCCTCAGTATTAATTTTAACATAGATTTCTATTTAGATTACACACACTGGAATTTGTAGCCATTTTTAACCAAATACTTTAAAAAATAACAAGAAAACAAGTATTCTAACTCATTTAATCACCATCCAGCCAGACTTTATATTAAAGCACCTTAAAGCTGTATTGACAGACACTATGATGACTTCTGGAATTAAAAGAATGGCAATAGTTTAACTTTGTGGAG